GTGGATGGGACTGAGAGAGCTCTTTCAAGAATTGCTCTTTCAGAAGCGTCTTCTGACTGACAGTTCAAGCATCCATACACTAAAGGGGCCAACTTTAGAATTTTGGCACCCACTACTCTTTTATTATAAGGGAGAGATGTTTATAATATTGCTATTGCAATGTTACTGCAACATTCCTGCCACATTGTTGCTGTAGTATATTGCACATCTTGTAAGCTAACTACTCTTAGGGGTTAATTATTATTGTTTAGATTTATATTTTATTATATTGTATTATGTTAATATTGCTATTGTCATGTTAACAGTGGCTTAATAAAATGCTGAACTCAATAGAGAGGTATTAAGTTGGGGGCAAAAGAACAACTGATCTCCGGGTTACAGAGATCAGTTCACCTGGAGAAAATGGCCACTTGGAAAATTGGACTCTATGGCATGCCGTTCCCTCTTCCAGCTCCACCCCCAAAACCTCCAGGTATTTCCATCCTGGCACTGGCAACCCTTAGTCAAGAAGTGTGCCCAGTATTTTTGTTGAAATCATCTGGCAGCCCTGTATATCAGCATAAGGACATAAGAGAAGCCAATGTTGGATCAGGCCAGTGGAAAACAAAAGAGGCGACACTCACTAAATGCAAAATGATGGATAAGGGAATTTACTTCCGAGGAAGTCGTAAGAGAACTTACTTCTGAGGAAGTTTAGGAGCGAAACGAGGACTCAAGCCGGAAGCTTCGTTAATATATTGATGTACTGTGATTCTCTTAGTATTGTGATCTGCTTATAATATTGAGATTCTTATGTATGAATTGCCAACCTAGCAGTTCGAAAGCAAGAAATTGCAAGTAGATAAATAGGTACCACTTTGGTGGGAAGGTGACAGCGTTCCGTGCGCCTTGGTGTTTAGTCATGCCGGCCACATGACCACGGAAACGTCTTCGGACAGCGCTGGCTCTTCGGCTTTGAAACGGAGATGAGCACCGCAACCCTAGAGTCGGATTCGACTGGCTTTCGAGCAAGGGAACCTTTACCTTATGTATGAATTAATAGGTGGTATTTTATAAATTTATGAATCAAGCACTTTGAAAATGAATTTACACTTTGTATAAAACCTCAATATAGTATCTATTGCGTTATATACAAAATGTTATGTACAAAACATTTCCCTGGTTGTTTTGATGACTCTGATCGTTTATCAACTGGGAGGTCTCTTATACAAAAATACCAGGTGCCATCAGGAGGCCCAGCAGTGGGGCCAGGACACTAGAAGCCCTCCCACTGTTGCCCCCCCCCAAGCACCAAGAATAGAGAGCATCCCTTGTTCCAGACTGAGAGTTCCTATCTATACCTTGTGGCTAATAGCCGCTGATGGACCTCTGCTCCCTCTCTTTCTTCAGTTCCCTCTTGAAGCCACCCATGCTTGTAGCTGCCACCCCCTCCTGTGGCAGTGATTTAGAGTCCGCGCACTTAACCACTACACCAAACTGGTACGTGTTACTGTAACTTTCCTGCCGCATAGTTGCTATAGTATATTGCAATCAAATTTTTCCAGTTACATCAGCATTCTTAATACAGCTTTTTACACCTTTAAAAAAACAACAACAACAAAAACAAACCTCTAACCTGTAAATTATTTTGTATTATCCCAGCGGTTTTATTAAGCCTCCAAGACTAAATCAGGAGGCAGTCGCTCTGCCTCCTCCCTCTTGCGCTCCAAAGGACCCTCAATCCACTTCAGTTTGATGGAGGCAGAAAAGTGCTTCCCCAAGCATTATTGAGGCTAATGGCAGCAATTTGAGACAATTCCCAGTCTTGATTCTCTTTTTGCTTGACTGAACAAGGAGCTGCACAAACTTGTTGGGACAGCTTTAAAGGCCTCATCAAACACATCTTTTGTAGAATGCAAACACTCACACACACACACACACACACAGAATGCTCCTTCACTGAATTGTATTTAAATCAGCAGATGGGAAGATTTTGTTCAGATGCAAACTTGTATTAAAATGAGATGGCCTTTAACATTTGCAGAAGCTAGAGAGAGTTAATGGTGCTCTGAACTACACCTGTGATGTTGCTGGTCTGGAAGTAGATTCGATGGGAAATGATAGGACCTCCTTCCTAGTAGGTTGGGTGGGTACAAGAACTTCTGCGCTGGGGCTTCTCAGAGCACCCGTCACTTGGTAGTGGTGTTCCCTCTAAGCTGAGTTAGTGTGAGCTAGCTCACAGTTGTTTAGCCTCTAGCTCACCCATCTTTGTCTTAGCTGGGGAAGGAGGGCTCCAGAGTAAACTAATTTATGCAGTAGCCAAATGGCTCGTTCACAACTTTAATGCCAGGAGCTCACAAAGTAGAATTTTTGCTCACAAGACTCCGCAGCTTACAGGGAGCACTGCTTGGTAGGGTTGCCATCTCCAGGTAGTCCGACATACCTGAGGGACCGCCTTTCCCCATATATACCCCAGCGAGCGCTACGGTCGGGGATGCAACATCGACTGGTCGTTCCAGGCCCTAGGGAGGCCAGGCTCGCGGCCACTAGAGCCAGGGCTTTCTCAGTGGCGACTCCGTACTGGTGGAACGAGCTCCCGGAAGAGATCAGGGCCCTGCGGGATCTTATGGAGCTCCGCAGAGCCTGCAAGACGGAGTGCTTTAGGGCTGCCATGTGGGGGCGGGGGGCGGGTAAACCCCCGCTTCGGAAGCCCGATTCCCGCTGCCATGGAATCAGGCCCCGGGGGAACTCCACCCCCACCCCCCGAAGCACAGCATGGCTGCATCACCGGAGGCGGCGCAACCATGTCAATCACATTGGGGGCATGGCCCCGATCGTCGGAGGGAAAACTCTATGGTTTTCCCTCAGACGATCGGGGCCACGCCTTCAATGTGATCGACGTCGCGCATCACGTCCGGTGACGTGCTGGTGGTGCGTGCGCGCACATCAACAGATGGCTCCCGAAGCCCGGCGAGGCTCCCCGGCCGGTAAGAAAAATTGACTTGGCAACCCTAGAGCTCTTCCACCAGGCTTTCAACTAGGAGCTGCCCTTATCACCACCAATGACCACCAATAATATCTGGGGTAGAGACTGGCTGTAGTGAGGCAGAGTCAAACCACTTGTGAGCCAGTAGCTGTGGAGCTACATGACATGCTATGCCATCTTGGTAAACAACTACAGAGTACATTTATTTAAATGTTGATTGTTTAAATGTTTTTAGATGTTTTGATAATGTTTTAAGCTCTAATGTGTTATATATGAGTCTGGCACTGAGCCAGGCAGTGTGAGCTGCCCTGAGCCCGCTTGCGGGGAGGGCGGATTATAAATATAATAAATAAATAAATAAATAAAAGAGGAGGAGGAGGAGATTGGATTCATACCCTGCCCTTCACTCAGAGTCTCAGAGCAGCTTCTCCTTTCCCTTCCCCTCCCACAACAGACACCCTGTGGGCTGAGAGAGCTCTTGACAGAAACTGCCCTTGAGAGAACAGCTCTGAGAGAACTTGTGCCTGACCCAAGGTCACACCAGCAGCTGCATGTGGAGGAGCGGGGAATCAAACCCGGTTCTCCCAGATTAGAGTCCGCGCTCCTAAACAGTGCAACAAAATGGGCAGAGATTTCCCATTGTTACAACTGATCTCCAGGTGACACTGTGGAAAGTGGACTGTATGGCACTATGCCTCATCAAAGTCCCTCCCCTCCCTAGACCCCACCCTCCTCAGAATCCCCCCCCCAAAAAAATATCCAGGTATTTCCCATCCTGGAGCTGGCAACCCTACCTCTTGGCAAACCTTTGATTCAATGAGTCACACAGTTAATTGGATGGGCTTCCCAGATCCCTAAGACTTGTGGGGGGAATTTACTGGGAGCTGGAACAATGGATCCGGAAGTAAACACAACATGCCTATGTCACCTGGAAGTGATGTAGGCATGCTAATGATGTTGGGGGGGGACATACTCTAGTTTGGGGGCAAAACTCTATGGTCTGAAGCTGATTCTACCATAGAGTTTGCCCCAAAACCGGAGCATTGCCCCCACCCAACGTCACCAACGTGCCTACGTCATGTTTACTTCTGGCTTCTTGCCTGGTGTTGGGTTTTTTTTGGGGGGGGAGTACTTCTCCCCTGCCAGCCAGCTGGCCAGAGCCAAGGGGAGTGCCAGAAATCGGGGGATCCACCATGCACCGGGGGGAATGACCTGGCAACCCTATCTACATTGTTATGTACAGTTTGCTGTAAGTTCGGCCCTACTATGTATCTTGCATCTTTTCACATGTATTGTTAACACTTATAAGAACAGAAGAACGTAAGAGAAGCCATGTTGGATCAGGCCAATGGCTCATCCAGTCCAACACTCTGTGTCACACAGTGGCGAAAACCCAGGTGCCCTCAGGAAGTCCACCAGTGGGGCCAGAACATAAGAGAAGCCATGTTGGATCAGGCCAATGGCTCATCCAGTCCAACACTCTGTGTCACACAGTGGCGAAAACCCAGGTGCCCTCAGGAAGTCCACCAGTGGGGCCAGAACATAAGAGAAGCCATGTTGGATCAGGCCAATGGCTCATCCAGTCCAACACTCTGTGTCACACAGTGGCGAAAACCCAGGTGCCCTCAGGAAGTCCACCAGTGGGGCCAGAACATAAGAGAAGCCATGTTGGATCAGGCCAATGGCTCATCCAGTCCAACACTCTGTGTCACACAGTGGCGAAAACCCAGGTGCCCTCAGGAAGTCCACCAGTGGGGCCAGAACATAAGAGAAGCCATGTTGGATCAGGCCAATGGCTCATCCAGTCCAACACTCTGTGTCACACAGTGGCGAAAACCCAGGTGCCCTCAGGAAGTCCACCAGTGGGGCCAGAACATAAGAGAAGCCATGTTGGATCAGGCCAATGGCTCATCCAGTCCAACACTCTGTGTCACTCAGTGGCCAAAACCCAGGGGCCATCAGGAGGTCCACCAGCATGGCCAGATCTATTATGCTTTGTTTCCATTTAGATCATCTCCCTCTCTTTTCCCCTTACCTGTTTGTTCCACGACCGTTGTTGACAATCGGTGTGGGATCCTGGATGGGACTCTCAGACTTGCATGCAGCAGGTAATACCTACAGAAAACAGTCAGAAAAAATAATGCTATTATAATGACAGTTAGTAAATAAAATGGTTTTTTTAATGTTTCCTAGTCACCAAACTTTACCAAAAATTAATTTAGAAGTTCAGGCAAAGGTCTATAGAATTTCTGAGCAGCGGTCGAGGTTTCTACCCAAAGAGTGGCTGTAAATTTCACCACTGATGGAAAACACCTACAGAGCCCAAAACCTCTCACATTTTTCCAAGCATACTAGTTGAATATGCAAAACTTCATTGAGGGATGTTTAAAGGGGAAGCTTGTTAAACTTGTGCAGGCAAACACGAAGAAGAAGAAGAAGAAGAAGAAGAAGAAGAAGAAGAAGAAGAAGAAGAAGAAGAAGAAGAAGAAGAAGAAGAAGAAGAAGAAGAAGAGGAGGAGGAGGAGGAGGAGGATATTGGATTTATACCCCACCCTTCACTTGGAGTCTCAGACCAGCTTACAAACTCCTTCCCCTCCCCCTCCCCACAACAGATACCCTGTGAGGTGGGTGGGGCTGAGATAGCTCTTTCTTTCGAGAACTGCTCTTTCAAGAACAGCTCCGACAGAACTATGGCTTGCCCAAGGTCATCCAGCAGCTGCATGTGGAGGAGTGGGGAATCAAACCTGGTTCTCCCAGATTACAGTCCACGGCACACTTAACCACTACACCAAACTGGCTCTCAGTAGGATCCTGTTATGTAATTTCTGTACCACTTAATGTGTCATGTTAATACTTATGCAGTACTTCAGATATTTCTGGTGGTTCCAGACTTCTAAAATCCCAATGGGCTGGTAGTAGAACGTCCCATTTTGTTGACTGTACTGATTCATTCTGTGTAATCTGCTTTGAGTCCCTGTGCAAAAGGCTGACTATAAATAACATTCAGGTGGGCATCTGTGCTGGTCTGAATTATTCCAATTATTATCCCAATTTGTCTGAAATTATTCCAATTTGTCTGAAGAAGTGGGCTTTGCACACACAGCTTAACCTCTGAATAAAAAATTGTTCATCTTAAAGATGCCACTGGACTCAGACTTTGTCCTTTAAATAACATAATCCTGATATAAAGAACATATACTCCTGATATAACATCCAGATCGCAAGACGTGATAGTACCGCTGTACACTGCATTGGTCAAGCCGCACCTGGAAAACTGTGTGCAGTTCTGGAGGCCTCACTTCAGAAAGGATGTGGACAGAATGGAGCGGGTGCCGAGGAGAGTGATGAGGATGATCGAGGGTCTGGACCAATGTTCCCTCTAAGCTGTGGGGTCCTGTGAGCAAAAATCCTACTTTGTGAGCCACCAGCATTAAAGTTGTGAGCAGGCAGGTGATTTGGCTACTGCATAAATTAGTTTGCTCCGGACTGGAGCCATCCTTCCTGAGCTAAGGCAACAATGTGTGAGCCGGAGGCTAAAAAAAATGGTGAGCTAGCTCACACCAACTCAGCTTAGTGGGAACACTGGCCTGGACACCAAGCCCTATGAGGAGAGGTTGAGGGACTTGGGAGTGTTCAGTTTGGAGAAGAGGGGGGCAGGATGGCTCTCTTGAAGTCTTTGAAGGGCTGTTCCTTAGAGAAGGGCTGTTCCTTAGAGAAGGGCAGGGAGCCGTTCCTGTTGGCAGCAGAGGAGAGGACTCGCAGTCATGGGTTTAAATTAAGGGCGGGAAGGTACCGGCTGGATCTTAGGACAAACTTTTTTACAGTCAGAGTCAGTGTTCCCTCTAAGCTGAGTTAGTGTGAGCTAGCTCACTGTTTTTTAGCCTCCGGCTCACACATTTTTGTCTTTGCTCAGGAAGGAGGGCTCCAGAGCAAACTAATTGATGCAGCAGCCACATCGCTCGCTCACAACTTTAATGCCATGAGCTCACAAAGTAGAATTTTTGCTCACAAGACTCCACGGCATAGAGGGAACATTGGTCAGAGTAGTTCAGCAGTGGAATCGGCTGCCTCCCTGGCAGTCCTCAAGCAGCGTCTGGACAAACCCTTGTCAGGGACGCTCTAGGCTGATCCTGCATTGAGCCGGGGGTTGGACTAGATGGCCTGTGTGGCCCCTTCCAGCACTGTGATTTCACGATTCTATGATATAAATAACATATAAATTTTTTAAAAAATCCTGCTGGCGAAGGACACTTTCAAGATCATCTTAGAAGCGATTGGCTCTTCTGCGAAGAAGCTTTGTCAAATCTTACTCAGCTGATAGCCAAATGAGCTAAAGGAGAGAGCCAGTTTGGCGTAGTGGTTAGGAGCACAGACTCTAATCTGGGAGAACCGGGTTTGATTCCCCACTCCTCCACATGCAGCTGCTGGGGTGACCTTGGGTCAATCGCAAGTTCTGTCGGAGCTGTTCTCTCAAGGGCAGTTCTCGCAGAGCTCTCTCAGCCCCACCTACCTCACAGGCAATGTTCCCTCTAAGCTGTGGAGTCTTCTGAGCAAAAATTCTACTTTGTGAGCTACTGGCATTAAGGTTGTGAGTGAGTGATTTGGCCATTGCATAAGTTAGTTTGCTCTGGAACCATCCTTCCTGAGCTAAGACAAAAATGTGTGAGCTGGAGGCTAAAAAACTGTGAGCTAGCTCACACTCACTCAGCTTAGAGGGAACGCTGCTCACAGGGTGTCTGTTGTGGGGAGAGGAAGGAGTTTGTAAGCCGCTCTGAGACTCCTTCAGGTAGTGAAGGGTGGGGTGTAAATCCAATCTCCTCTCTCTTCTTCTTCATCTTAGTCTAGTGGTTAGAATGGCAGACTACAGTCTGGGAGATCTGAATTATCTCTCTTGCCATGGAAGCTCCCTGGCTGACCTTGGGCCAGTCAGCACATCTGTCCTTAGGATAAAATGGAGGAGAGGAAAATGATGTTCTGGCCACTTTGTGTCTCCCATGGGGGATAAAAAACAGGGCATAATTCTCTAAAGAGTCAGTTTGGTGTAGTGGTTAAGTGCGTGAAGACTAATCTGGGAGAACTGGGTTTGATTCCCCACTCCTCCACTTGCAGCTGCTGGAAGACCTTGGGCAAGCCATAGTTCTGTCAGAGCTGTCCTTGAAAGAGCAGTTTCTGTCAAGAGCTCTCTCAGCCCCACCTACCTCACAGGGTGTCTGTTGTGGGGAGAGGAAGGAGTTTGTAAGCCGCTCTGAGTGAAGAGCAGGGTATAAATCCAATATCCTCCTCCTCCTCCTCCTCCTCCTCCTCCTCCTCCTCTTCTTCAAAATAAAGACACTCGCCCACAAAATAGCTCTAGAACAAAGCACTGTTCTCATTCCCTTCCCATTTGGAATTTCCCAGCGTTAAATAGACCAGCCTTTAAAATCCAAGCGAAGGAAAAAGAGCACTTCGCCTTGACACAAAAGAGTTTTTATCATCTGGCAGGATGCCACGAGAAACACTGTTGTGATCGCAGTGTGTCATCACCCCGACAGATCGCTACTCTGACAGCAAACCTTGCCACACGCCGGTGACAGATGACTCTGGTGCGCTCTTGTTATTCCCCAACCGTGTAGGAGAGAAACTGTCTCAAAAAGAATTGTGTGTGGGGGGGGGAGCACACACCTAGGGCTAACACTAAAGGCGTAAGGAAATATCTAGATATATCAAAGGTGTCTCTCAAGGTCTCGCACTAGCATCCCGCTTGAGGTTTCTGAAACTCATCTCATCAAACTTTCTCAGAGAACCAATAAACATAGAAACATAGAGCTGGAAGGGATCTCAAGGGTCATCTAGTCCAACCCCCTCCACAACACGGCAAATTCACAACTACCCTCCCCACTCTCCCAGTGACCTCTACTGTATGGCCAGAGGGAAGCAAAAAACCTCCATGATCCCTGGATAGGGTTGCCAAGCCAGCCCCCAGATCGGGGTGGGGTCTTCCCTGCTTTTGGGGGCTCTAATCTGCCCCAGCTCCCAAGTCCTGCCCCTAAGCCCCACCTCCAAGAGTAACCACCACCCACCGGGTCACTCCTCTCATTCTCCTCCTGCCCCTTGAAATTACATGCTACAACATGCCACAGTGGCTCAGAGGTGAAGATGCTGAGCTGCAGACCGGAAGGTCTGTAGTTCGGCAGTTCGAGACCCGAGTGCCGCATGACGGAGTGAGCTCCTGTCTCTGGCCCCAGCTCCTGCCAACCTAGCAGTTCGAAAGCAAGAACTTGCAAGTAGATAAACAGGTACCACTTCAGTGGGACGGTAACAACGTTCCGTGCGCCTCGGCATTTAGTCATGCCAGCCACATGACCACGGAAACGTCTTCGGACAGCACTGGCTCTTTGGCTTGGAAACGGAGGTGAGCACCACATCCCTAGAGTGTCAGCTATGCTGCCATGGGGATTGGGATGGTCAGGCAGAGTCAGTGTAATTGCTATTGCATTCCTTTCTGTGCTTTATGCTGAAATGCTTATCGGTAACGATGTGCAGGTGGGAGTTGTGTTGTCTGCTTTTTTCCAGGGAGCCCTGGGAGAAGGCGAGTTCCCAGCTTCGGCTAGAAACCGTTTGCTAGCTTTATCCCACACGCGGGAGGGTGCCCAATTGGCCAGCACAGTGGGGGGGTGCATACGAATCCCCTATATCTTATTATGTCCAAGGGGCAACTGCCATTCTTAACAGTGACTATGTTAATGCATCTATAAAAAGGTAAAGGTTCCCTTGCTCGAAAGCCAGTCGAGTCCAACTCTAGGGTTGCGGTGCTCATCTCCGTTTCCAAGCCGAAGAGCCAGTGCTGTCCGAAGACATTTCCGTGGTCATGTGGCCGGCACGACTAAACATATCTATAGCTCTTCAATAAAAGTATTACCTTTCCTGAAAGCATGTTCTACGTTGTTGGCTGTGGGTTCTGACATAGAGTCACCTTCGACTAGCTCTCGAACAAGGGAAACCTTGACCTTTACATGGCAAAACCCTGACGTGATGCCAGTGCATCAGCTGGCAGTCTAGAAACTCTATGGTAACTCCATAAAGTGATGTCACATCGCGGTTTTTGCTGGGAAGTGACATCAACACATAGTGGAAAG